CCAAATGAGTGAAGACTGAAGATGCTGCTAACATCTAACCGCCAACAGGGTGCACCTCCCCAGAAAAGATCAATGATGCTAAAGCTACAAGTCCTGTACTAGAGGAACATGAACCATTGTCAAAAGAAGAAATGGTCAGCAGAGGAAGACTCAGGTGACATGAATGCTACATCACAGCTGGGATTCTAAAGAAAGGCCATGTGAATAACAGAAATAAAAACACAGCAACAAAGTAAGTACGCTGGCAAAGTACAAAAAGATCAATACAGGTTGGACACTCCTAATCTGAATGTCCTCAACCTCAAATGCTCCAAAATCTAAAACCTTTTGAGAGTCAACAACTTTCTCACTCTCACCATGGGCAAATTATGCCTCCATACACCTGACTGAAAAACAGACGAAAGACAGAGAGGTCTAAGTCTAAAGGTGGAAGCTTCACGCCACAGCTGAGACACGGCAAGCACCGCTGCTCTAGCACTTCCCAGAATCCATGTGAAACAGCAGGAACCACTAGCCAGCAAGCCCAAATCCATAAAGATCATGTACATACAATCAAGTTGTGAGAGGGGGGACTGACACTTGGACCCAGAATGTGGAGCACACAACATCCCAGAGGTCTCTGGCTCAACACTGACTGCCAGGGCCTCCCTGTATTCCTCCTTGTATCCCTCCATGATACTATACCACAGCTCTACAAGTGGAAGCTCCTTCCAAGCTGGTGCACAGTGGACTCGCACACTACTATCATACTTCATCAGGGCTGTTAACTGACCCTTGGGCATGCTTGTAGCTGGAACAGCTCTCTCATCCTTGCAAAATCTTTTGTCACTAGACATTCTCACATCACCCAGTGGCACTGAGCTTCCAAACACACATGCTGAAAGAGTTCAAGAGGAAAAAGGTTCATAACTTCATAACCTCTCCACAACACTGTGAAATAGTTCCGACCCCATAAACTCCTCAGGAAACAGTCAAAAAGAAGAGTATCCTGTGAGCTGAGGTTGGGCTATCTGACTCTCAACAATAACACAAAGAATCAAACCCATACATATGTTCACATTGATACTGCAAAAGGAAAAAATAGTTAACTTTAGAAGCTGATGGGAAAGCCAAGTTGATACTCATTTTGCTTATTTTTATGTGTTGAGGATTGAAACCTGAATCTTGTGCATAAAAGCAAATTTGTATGTGTGTGTGTGTGTGTGTGTGTGTGTGTGTGTGTGTGTTCTGTTATCAGGGATTGAATTCCTGCCCTTGCGCTTACCAGGCAGGCGCTTATGCCACTAGGTTAAATCCCTGGCCTAGGCAAATGTTCTTTGATTAAGCTGCATCCCTAGTGCTCCAACTCAGTGTCTTAAGGACCAGTAATCTAAGGGAAAGAATCAAGCATTTATCCAGTCTTGCTCTAAAAGGCATGCTGCTGACATTCTGACAAGTGTACACTAAATGACAATTACAGCTTATTTTCAGATGTGCACCCCCCCCCCAAGTCTCATGTATTCAAGGGTGGGGATTCTGGAAGTAACTGGATCATCAGTGTGTGATGCCGGATTAGCCCACTGGTTCTGGGTGTGGATGATGCATTTACTGAAGAGGGAAGCTCCACCCTGGGTGTAGGTGGGACCACAATAGACTTGTGGTCTAAATGGAATAAAAAGGTAAAGTGGAAGGGAGCCTGCTACGCTAAAAACTGTTTTTCCTCCGCATGCCCCTGTACCATGCTGCCCTACCTTGGAACCAGTCAACTATGGACCAAAACCTCTACAAACTGTGAGCTAAAATAAACCTTTCCTTCTTTAACTTGCAGGTATCTAGTATTTTGTCCCACTAATGGTAAGTAATTAAAACAGTGACAGAATTAGAAGAGTACTATTTTGAAGCCTCCAATGTCCAGTAAAGACAGGTATCAGGCATGAGTAGCTATCATATCCCCCGTCCTGGGGAAAGCTCCCCATAGTTTCACAAAGGGATGAAGCTGAACCTGGCCCTGTCTCCCTATCAAACTACAGTGTTGCAAAGAAATACAGAGGGACCTACCAAACTATGACCTGAGTGTACAATTCACAGAATCCAGTGAAAAACTTAAGGGTAAGTCAGCCCGGCAGGAGATGGCACGTTTCACTTTCTGGCCTTGACCTTTATGGTGCTACCAGAGCTCACCTGGGATGGATTCATCAAGCTCAATATTTACTTTGTGGTTTTCCAGAACTAACTTTACAAGAAAAAGAATTTGTAAAATAGAATATAGGAAAGACCCTGTATTCCTAAGAATGCTACAGGGAGAGGTGAGAAGGAAAGAGAAAAGTAAAATAAAGCCCACTGGGCTGCTATATAGCTTGGTGGTACAGCACTTTCCTAGCACATACAAGAGACAATGCCCTGGGTTCAATTCTCAATACCATCACCAAAACCAAAAACAACAAACAAAACAAAAATACCAAAAAACAAGCCCACTGTGTACTACTGAAGGCTGTCAGAATGCCACTGCATTATGCTAAGAAAAGACAAACATAGCCACATATTCTGCCTATCCAGTAAAAGAATTTTTTCAGAGATACCAAAACAGCCCTAGCAAATGAATTCTTTGTACCAATGAATTCCAATCAGTAGTTGCAAGAGGAACCACACAAGTGCAAAACTGCCATTCTGCAACTTGTACGGGATAATGGGTTCAAACAGTAATCACTGAAGACGATAAAATTTAAGCGAATGCTGGGCAAGGCAGTATACACCTAAAACCCCAGCAATAAGAGAGACTGAGGCAGGATGGCAAGATTGGGTTCTGTCTAGACAACTTAAGAAGACACTGTCTTAAAATAAAAAATAAAAAAGTGATGGAGATGTAGTTGAGTAGAACACCCAAGTGTTCAATCTCCAGATAAGACAAAAACAAAAACAAAGAATCTTCAGGTGAAAGGCTGATAAGGAAGAGATGGGTAGTCATCATGGATGACCCTTCTACTTCACAGCATACCTACCAAGGCACCCTGGCCAAGATGAAATCACACAACTGAAGTCTAAATACAGTAAGTCCCCAATTTACAAACTTTTGCATTGGAAATTCTCACAGGCATACTATGTAAGACTTACTTGTTGAGTTATGTATGAAGTCCATTTACAAACAATTCTCCTGGAACAGAAGAACTCAATTGTAAGTTAGGGACTTACTGTACTAGAATTTACTCATGGCCAGTTTACCCAGATCCAATTGTCAGGCTGCAGAAATGAAGGAAAACAACTGAAACAGAACAAAAAAGCCATCAGTTGAATCCAGAATCTGGTTCCAGCTCCTTCAACAGATCATAGGTACTAGAAACTGGAGAAAGGATGGCAGAAGAGAATGTTCTGGATTAGAAGAAATGTAAAAGCTTAACACTGGAGGGTGATGACTATTATGAATGTATCCAATGACACTGACCGTGCATGATGCATTACTTAAAAATGCAAAGCTATTTTTATTTCCACATGTACTATGTGCTCCTTTTATGTGAAATGTCATCTTTTCTCCTAATAGAGATCACACTGAAACATTTAGTGGTAAAATGAGGTTAACTTATAAGAGGTAGCTGAAAACCAGGAGCAGCAAGAAGGCAAGACCAATGCTGGTAAAGGCCAAAGCTGAGCATACACAGAGGGTGAATTATACTCACTACTTTCTCATACGAAAAGTTTTTTTAAAAAAACAGATTCAAGGACTCCAAGGAGCAATCGAATGTGACAAAGCTGTGGCAAGTGGCATTTATCTTTCAGGGGGAATTAGGCATTTGTGAGAAGCTTGCTGGTTGAGAGCCATGGCAGCCACCAGTCAGCCTGGAACACGATGAGCAAGGCAAATGCTGGTGTTTTACTCTGGGGTGCCATTCAGACTGCAAACCTGGGTACAGCACATTAAATTTACAGGGAAAATAAGCTTTTAAGTGGAGATGTGATCTCCTTAGATCTTCCAAACACTGCTGTCAAAGCAGAATAAGTAAGAGGAGGGTCCAGGGATTTTAAATGTGTGGTCCTAGGACAGCAGCACAGTTACAAACTGAAACTTTTTAGAGAAAGACCTGGCAGATGTGCTGAATCAATAATTCTGGCTGTGTCAATAAGCAGTGGAAGTGAAAGCCACTGGGCCAGTCTGTAAGAACATCACTCCAAAACTGGGACACACAGCTGATCTTGAGAACAGGTCCAATTCTGCTTTTTGATGGAGCTGGTGATCTGGACATACTACCTCCCTCTCTGTCCCAGCCTGAGAAAGCAATGACCTCTGTGTACAAAGTCTCAGGACAATACTCAATCTGCAAGGAGGCTGGATAAGTTGCAGCTGATGCTAATTCTGCACCCCTAAAAACTTGTGGTTAAGACTTAATGATTCAGTTGATGAGGATAATAACTTCAGTAACAGAAGGCTAGAAACCTCACTAGAAAGACAGCCAGAAGCACTCCTTGGGAAGCAGATGAACAAGGCGCCACCTTAGCCTTGTCCTTCCCACAGAGAATGTGAGGCCAGGGTGGAAGGCACTGAGGGGCCAGGTGACTGCACAAGGCACCTCTCAAGCTCACACCAATAAGCCCATCACTCAGTCTCTCCCTACAGCCAGCTGTAGCTATGGCTCTATGGGCTGAAAGAAATCTTGCCCCTCTAAAAGCAAGAAATCCTGCCCAAAAGCTGTGGGAAACCTCTCAGCACTGGTGTCTCTCTTTTCTGGAAGGAACAGGCAATGAAAATCCTGAGTCACAGATCAGACAAAAGTCACAGCTCATGGAACAGATGCTCAGCCCTCTGTGCTAGGATTTTCCTATTAGGAGCCACAGGTCTGGGTAGCAGTCCACATGGACTCACTAATCTCAACCTACTTGTTCAAATGGTTCTGTTCACAGCCTACTTGGGTTCCCTGGTCACAATACTATGCACTGAAGAAGCTAGAGAGTCTGTGGCTTACCAGGAAGGACTGGGCTTTCTACATACGACATTTCTACTCCTGTTTTAAATTGAAAACAAACTTGCTTACTTCATGATCCACGCTCTCGGTGGCCATGCATTGGTTGTTGGCCAGGGTGGTAATCTCACGGCTCTTCGGGGTTTCCATCCGGCAGCTGCAGAGAGGTACTTCCTGGAGGCCGTCTGTCTCCAGCATGTCTGGACCATTGGCCAGCCCTAAGTCACACAGATAGGTATCAGCTTAAGCAACCATGACCTCCAAAGGGCCGATTGAGAGCAATCATTTATGTCTCCACAGTGACCACGCATGCATGGAAGTATGAGCAACCCATTTATGAGACAGCAGTACTGCTCAAGGACACAAACCTACACACTGCCCTGTGTGATGTGAAGGGCAATGTAAGCCTGTCTCCTCATTTGGCAGCAGCTAGTCCCCAGATACATCTGCTAATCCATGTCCTTAGGGCCCCTACCATAAGTCAAAGAGAGAAGCCACACCTGTACCAGCAACTTGGTTTGCACATATAAAAAACATTCACTACACGTTGATTCCTTATTTTCCTCACTTGGCTTTGAAAAGCCAAAGCAGAATTCAAAGTAAATCAGCATTTCTGACACAACTATCTCCCTTCATTAAAAAACAATTAACTCTTACTCACATCTAAAAAATACACTATTAAAGTAAACTGAAATGAAGAGTGGCCCCAAAGTATCCCAGAGCAGACAGAGCCTGCCGAGCCATGGAGTCATCTAGCCCTTGCTTGGTTTCTAAAGACTAACGAAACTGGACTATTTCTTCTGGCTTTTTATTGAAAAGTAAAACTTATGTTCAACCAATTAGAAGCAGCCAACCAATTTATAAAACAAAGGACTTGCCAACAGAATAGTGCAAATAACTCTTATCAAGCAAGAGCTTTACTGCCTACTTCCAAGTTTGCACTTTTCAAGCCTTCCTCTGTATTCCCTCAAGCAGAGCACCAAACCACTTCTGGCTTGCAGTGACCTCACTCACACATCATTCAAACAAACTTTTTTTTAAAAATTGTTTTCTTTTTTGGTGCTGAGATTCAAACTCAGAGCCTCATGCTTGCCAGGTAGGTACAGGCAGGTACTGTACCACTGAGCTACTTCCTGGCCTTTAACGAACTCTTAAGAAGCATGCTAACCTCTATTCACACTTCAAAGATACCTGGGCTGAGCCAGAAGACAGCCTTACCCCCACAGAATCCCTCCCTGCTCATGCAAGTAACTAGAGGGAGCTAGGGTTCCTGCTTAGGGTCAGTAAATGAGAGACCACCTGAGCCATGGCTCTTTAGGAAGAAAGCTCAGGACAAGCCTACCTCAGCAGCCTAACTTTCTAGCCTAGTCTTTGGATTTATCCCAGTCCCCCAAAAAAGAACAAGTAATGTGAGATAAAGCTTAAATTTGAATCACTCCAAGTTTAAAACTGGAAGAGTGTTTGAGAAGATCCTCCTAATAACTTGGTTTTAGAACTGAAGACACACATGCCTACACAAAGAAGTAGTCAGCTAAGTGCCGATGATGTGCCAACTGAGCTGGCTGAGGTGAGGTGTGCAGAACCCAGGCCCCACACAACAGGGCAGCCCACCTGGATTTGGGTGCCTCTGTCATCTGGGTGTGCCGTAGTTACCAGCAGCAAGGAACTAAAGGACGTTAGGAGAAATGACCAGTGTGACTTGTGTGTACCACCTGTCCACTGAGCTCTGGCGCTCCTGTACCCAACACTGCCAAGGGCCCCTACTGCTGACCCCCCCAAGCCCACATCTTTTGCCTATCATTACTGAGGCTACATCACCAAACTTACCTAGGCATACCTAAAAGCAATAATGATGAGAAGAAAGCCACCACAAGTGTAGATTTCTGTCCTTGGGGCACTCTCCTAGGGGCCAGGGATATATATAGCTCAGTGATGCAGTGCTTGCCTGGCAAACGTAAGGCCCTGAGTTTGATTCCCAATACGACCACCCCCTCCCAAAAAAACAAAACAAAACAAAACAAAAAAAAACACAACTCTCCTTGGCCCCAGCATAAGACTGGCTTTTATTTTTTTATGTTTCGGTTTTCTGAAACAGGGTCTCACTAGGTAGTTCAGGCTGGCCTTGAACTAACAGTGATCCTCCTACCTCAGCCTGAGTGCTAAGACTACAAGTGTACAACCACCAAGAAGCCTGGCCTTCTTGAACCATGACTAGAACAACACTGATCCTCACCAGCCCACCTCAATGACTCCAAAGTCCCCCACTATCCAAATGCTGGCTCTACCACTACATTCCTTCAGGTCTCAAACTCCAAACTTAATCATTTAAGCACAAGGGAACGAAGCTGTTTGTTTCTTCAAGATGTTGATTCTCTAAATCAAAAGCATGACAGAAAATGCTAGCCACTGACTAATCAGGACTCATGTATCAAAGTTAAGTACATTTTGAGAGGCCAGTTTATAAAATATCATGGGATTTAAAGAAGCTGCTACAATTGGCTTTTTCCTCGTAACCTTTCTAACTTACTTGTCACCATTCTCATTTGCTGCTCTTAGTCCTTCCCAGCTAACACTCGTTGCTCTTTGTCCCTGTTTTCACCAGAGACATGACAGATGTGTTTACTTGGAAGGCCCTTCAATGCCACCACACTTCATCTCTATCCCTCACCACCAGCAGGCAGGGTTGCTGCTGCACTGCACAGAAGCTGACTGGCAAGGAGAGAACTGTGCTTACAATCAAATTTCTACCCAGCCTCCTGAATCCTCCATGTGGAAGTCTGGAACACTTAAACATAGTTATATTGAATCTAGAGAAGAGATGTGGGGCACCTCTAGTGAGGGTCTTATGCTATTCAAGAGGAGTTTCTGCTTTAGTTGATGCAAAAATGATTAAAAGTATTTCACTGACAGACAAGCCTAGATTTATGTCTTAAGCAAAAGGTAGTTCCTAAACTACACAGGTGCATCACACCCCCCAAAGACATTCAAAACCAATGGTTATTTAAATCTTAAAAAAAATTAAACCCTTGCAGTAATCTACAACTTTACACTTACAAAATCCACGTGGATGTAAATAGCTATGGGACTTTTATACTTCTCTTGCATTACTACAGGTTTCCCAGAACCATCAGTTACTTTTCACTGACAGAGGGTTTCATGTGACACAAAAGTCAAGAACAGTGGGAAAAGTGAGGGCAAGCCTCTAAAGCCTCTACACAAGGACCCCTAGCAGGAGCCACAGGTACACCTGTGACTGAAAAGCATAAAGACAACATCAGCATTTCACCCCACTGCAGAATGTCCCTGAAACTGTGAGCTTAACACCAGCTGAAGACATGCTTTCCAATCAGACCTGGAGGCCACCAAGGCACGGATTTAAATGTACACTGCCTGCTACAATCTGAGGTTGGAGCAGGGCACACACTTTCATCAGGAACTCTGTACAAAGTGTATTTGTCTCACAGTAGGGAAAACCCTGAGACAGCTACCAGCAACTTAAGTCTTATGTGCATGCTGTGAGTGACTTGGCAAGCCTACTTTGTGTCGTATCTGTTCTATTAACTCTAACTGATGCATTTGATCAAATTTTCTTTTAATATCCACCAGGTGGCATCAGGTTAATACAGAGGATGAGATCACAAACAAAGAACAAGATGGTGGTGCAGTTATAGTTGTAACACTGATCTTCACCTTCTGCCTGGGAGGACAAAATCCCTTTGACACGGAGATCCAGTGAGTCCAGAGAGACTTCCATATATCCAGAGCTGTCATCTGGAGCCATCTGTTCGGTGTTTCCTGGTGACAACTTACAGGCCTCAGTACCTACACACAGAAAGCACACCATGAGACAGCCCTGTGGAAGCCACAGTCAACCAGAGTTAACTCCCCAGAAAGGGTCATTTCCATTGAACCCATTTGGAACACAAACTGAAATAGTAATTCCTTAGGCTATCTGGTTTCACTGTTTTTTTCCCCCAGACATCATTTTGTTAATTCCCCATGTCCACCTCACACAATGGGGCAGGAGCTAGACAAAAAAAATGAGGCACTAACATATGAATATGTATTTCTTTGTAATTTTGCCAACTAAATAAAATCTGATGAAATAATCCAGGAAAATGGATAAATACATGATATATGTCCCACAAATTACATTAAAATAAAACATGTTTGAAAGGCCAAGTGATGTAAGTAGCTAAAGAAACAGCCCCAAAAGTCAAGTGTGGTGGTGCACACCTATAATCCCAGTACATGGGAGGCTGAGAAAGGAGGATCATTGCAAATTTGAAACCAGCCTGGGCTACAAAGTGAGGTTAAGGCCAGCTCAAACTGTATAGTGAGATTCTGTCTCCAAAAAAAAAGAGACAGAGAGAGACAGAGAGAAACAGCCCAAACATGCAGAGTTACTAGGGAAATCTGCATGGACGAAAGGTACTGCCTACCAATTTTCCCTCTTTCCTGGCTGTCACCAAGGTTTCCAGGGGAAAAGGTCAGGGTGAACCCCATAAGACTCAGTTTTTGTGAAAAAGTCATCACTTGCTAGAGGAAAATAAAACTTGAATTTACCAAAGAGAAGTACTACAGAGGAGGTCTACAGGATGTGTGTGTGTGTGCACAGTTTTCTGTGCCTCCTCATTCTTGAGGACATGGAGTGGTTAAGTGGGATGTGTAAGTCAGCCTCTCTACATTTCCCAGAAGGGCCCAAGAAAGACATAAAAAAATGGGTATTTGAAGTTTGGTTGTTTCACCAAGAAAGTTTTTAAAAAGGATTCATTTATAATAAATATATTTAACACCAGCAAAAGGCAAATGACCATGTTGTACAATAAGCGTCTCAATAATATCAGTCATTAACATTACTTAAGTGACTGGGAATAATAAACCATTAATACTGAGATATGGTGCCTGTTTTAATTCACACTCTATTCTGAACCTAGATCTTAGACAAATAGCAAAGTTGATCACTTTTGGGAAACCATCAACTACATGAAGAACATGAGGAGTTTTGATATAATTTTAAATACTTTACATATAAAAATAAATTTTAAATATTAAACTATGTGAGCAAATATTTAGGCATGCATTTGATAAATTATAGCTAAGATGACAAAGAACAACATTTAGTCTTAGATCTACAAATGTGTTCTGCCAGTCAACAACAGTAAACCCACACTGGTATTCTGATTTCAGTGTATAACGCAAGGTGAAGGCAAAAGGAAACACAACTGAAAGAACAGAAGTCTCAGAGGGCGGCAGCTGAGCTGACTCCAACAGACCCGGAGTCTGGCCTCACAGACACCACTCAACATTGACCTTGTATCAGGAGGGCAGAAGCACAACTAAAACATTAAGAAAAAGAACGAGAACTATAGCTCCATGGTGGTGTGAAGGTAAGTAAATGGAACAGACTAGAAAGCATAGCAACAGCCCATACCCTGATTGTTAACAAATGTGGAAAAAGAGAGAAAGAGTCAACTCAACCAACGGTGCCAATCAACTGCCTGTTCCAGAAGGGAAGCCTCTGGCTGCACTCAAATACTGCCCCCAAACATACCAACGGCTATGCCTGTGAGTGAAAAACTTCAGAAGGAAATATGAACAAAACCTGGTGATCTAAGTTAGTCAAAGATACCTTTTTCTGTGTCGTTCAGGCTGGCCTTTAGTTCACTATGTAGTTCAGGCTGGCCTCAAACTCAAAGTGATCCTCCTACCTGAGGCCCCAAGTGCTGGGATTACAGGTGTGCACTACCACCCGTAGTGGTCAAAGTTGGGGTTTTTTTCCACACAAAACACATGACTCACACAAGAAAACAATTAATAAATTAGACTTCAATGAAAAACTTTATCTATTGCTCTTATCCTAAACATACCATTAGCAATATGAAGAGAGTGGTCACAGACTACATATAAACATAGGCAAGCACCCATCTGATTAGACTTAAATCCAGAATATTTAAAAAGCTCTTACAATTTAATGAGAAGACAAACCTCTGACTGAAGTAAGCAAAAGAGACAATATACTTTAGAAAAGGAAAAACACAAAAGCTAAGGAAAGGCGTAACCTCATTATTCATCAAGAACAAGCAAACTGAAACTGCCCAGAGACACCACTGCACAGCCACTGAACCCACTGAACTTCAGAGCAAAGTCAGAGATGTAGGCACACACTGGTAAGCCCAGGACTTGGGAGGCTAGGGGAGGAGGATCGCCACGAATTTGAGGCCAGCCTGGGCTACACAGTCAGTTGAAGACCAATCTGAACTACATGGCAAGACCCTGTCTCAAAAAACAAACAAAAAAAGAACTTAACAGGACAGGTGTAACAAGCACTGGCAAGGACAAAAGGGAGCTGACCTCCAAGTGCTGTATGAGAATAGAAAGCAGAACCTGTGCCTTGAGAAACAGGTTGGCAGCTCCTAAAAAGAAACAAGCATATAACACATGACTCACCTATGTCATTTGTAGATAGCGAGTACTGTCCAAGGAAGAGAGCACACCAACATTCCTATCTACAGCAGTTCCCTCTCTGACACCCTAAGCAAAAAAAATCCCAGGGCCCACTCATAGCTGGTCTGGTGAGCCAGCCACAGCATAGTCACACAATGGGAAACTTCTCAGGTATAGCCAGGAACCAGCCTGACAATGAAACTCAAAAGGAGCCAGAAGAGAGTCCATTCTCATAGAACTCTATAAAGTGCTAACCACCAACAGAAATGAAGCAGATCTGGGCTCCCTGGATCAGGGAAGGGTCAGCTGCAGAAGGCAGGTTCCCAAGAGGCAGTGATGTGAGTACACATATCTTAACTCATAAACTGTGCCAAGTTCACTCAATGGAGCTATAAAAGAAATGACCCTTGGCACACAAACCCTATAACTTTTTTTAAATTAAAAATAAAAGACAGAATGAAACCAACAATGAATAGAACAATAAAGATCAGAAAACACAATCCCCTGTCTGTCAACATCATTTGTCATTTTTCATATAGATTAACATTTTGATTCTTAACATTTATGTAAAAATAAAAAAGACTCAGAATAGTTGAAACAACTTTGATAAAGGAACAAACTTAGGGCTCCAACCTTCCCCAGTACCATGAATTATCACAGTTACACCAATCATGACAAAACAGCACTGAAGTGCCAATATAAAGTTCCAAAATAGATACCCACATCTGTAACCTCTTCAAACTTTAGGGGTCATTTCCTTCCTTACATTCACCTTAACAAATTCCAAATTTCCAGAACACTAAATGCCAACCCAAGGCTTAATGCTATCCTGTAGAGGGACCTCTGCAATGCAAGCCAAGGAGGGCAGCCAAGTGGCCACCACAGACCTTGTCCCTTCGTGTAGCCTAGGAATGTGCACCGGCCACAGGTTGTTAGTCACCCTGGGCAGGTGCTCAGCATGAGACCAAGAGCAAGTACGTTCTTCAGAAGGAAACCAGTGGAGTGCCATTTCAAACACTCATTTAATAATGGACCTTCTTCAAGTCCTAGACTGCTCTCCAAGTCCTGAAACATTCTATGAGGACCAGAGCCCTCTGCACTTACCTAGTGTACCACTTGGCTTTTTTCTACTCCTCCGCCTCCTTTTCCGAGCTGGCTTGATCCAAGGGCTGTCAGCCTTCCCTCTTCTCTTGAGAAATTTCTTCTTGGTGCTGGATTCAGAACTCTGGAGGACCAAAGGGCAGGTACGTCAGAAGCAAAGCAGGGGGCGCTCTTGAGAGCAAAAAGGACTAGAAGTTGTTTGCCTGCAAAATAAAATACTCGCTTATCTTGATTCTTCCTCTTAAAGATTCACTTCATTCTAGACATTTTTCTGGGTCACATTCTATAGATACCCAGGCTGTTTCCTAACCATTTCTTTAAGCTCAGTCCTTTTAGAGGTAAAACAGCCAACAAAATTAAGTCGAATTTGTATCTTTAGTTTATGTTTGCCACTAAAAATTACATTGGAAAATTACACTCAAGAAATAAGTAAGCATAGAAAGAGAATCTACTTTTCATCACATGTATCCATTTGTTTTGTACATAAGGAAAAAAATAATCAATGCTCACTGTGCCCTAGAATCCATGCACACCAACTCTTTATATGGAGAACATAGGAAGAAACTGTAATCAACACTGTAAGACATCTTTATAAAGTCTAGATACAGGAAGGGCATCTAACCACCATGAATCGCACCTGACACCCAGCATGCTCTCCTAGCCCTGGTTGGTGCAGAGGGACAGGCAAGCTGACAGAGCAGAAGGGTATCAGGATACCCATCACACACATACATGAACAGGATGCTATGCTTGGCACACAGGAAGATGCACAGCACGCTAGCCATTCATATAGATCAGATCATCTCCTGCCAGGACCTAGTGCACGCTGTAGGGTTGGTGCCTAGGTCTGTGCCAGGCATCCCCAAGGGACAATGCTATGGAACCATCTTCAGCACATAGGCCCACACTGTCCATTGCTCCTCCCTAAAAACCTAGAGAAACTTCAGAGGGAGGGAAAAACTTATGGAAGGATTTCCACAGTTGCTATACATAAAACTTGCCACTGTCTGGACCCTGTTCCCTCTGTCAGGGATCCCTGAAAGACCTAATATAAAAGTGTGTGATGTTCCCTGGTGTCTCTCAGCAGGTGGCAAGCTGGTACCATGGGCTACCTTCTCCTGGTCCAGAGTGGTTCCTGGCTCTAGGCCTTCTTCCCACAGCACAGAGCCTTTCTTCTGCAACTCATGGGCCACTCACCTCCTCCACTCAATGTTCAAACACAGGGTTCCTGAGGCTCCACTCTTCTGACTGGGCTTTGTCATGCTTCCTGGTTTTCAAGTTCCCTGCTCCCACAGAGTCTCAGGCCCCGTTTCTGTCCCTCAGCATAAGAGACCTTAGCACAGGCAGAGCAGGTGCCCCTTCCCATCCTGCACTCTGGCAGCCCACCTCAAAACATTTCAAAGCCCGCATGTCTCCTCACAGTAGCCACTCCATCCACACTCGCCTCATACGTGAGAAACCAGCAAGTGGGACCAGACCCTTCCCTCAGAGCCTCATGCTGGGCAGCTCTGAGTCATGCCTGCCTGACCTGCTTGCTGTATCTAGGGAAGGATCACCCCATCTGCTTGATCGGCCCTCAGCTTTGGTACCATGATACCAGACCCATGCCAGGATTACCAGGTCAGACTCGTCTCCACCATCCTCGTCCTCTCCAGTGTCGGCAGATTCCTGTTCTTCCTCTGACTCGCCGTCCATCTGAGCAGCCACATGTCCGAGAGAACCAAATCAAATGAGGGAAAAAAAACACACACACACACACACAAAAACACTTAGCTCCTTCAGTGTAGACCAACAAATCCAATTCAATGTTTAAACCACACTGGTGGTGTGTGCTAGAGACAGGCAGTTGGTGTGGGGCACCATCACCGCACTGCCCTGTCTGGCCAACCCTAGGGATAAGGATGGGATGGGCATCCAGATAGAGAATGAGACACACATACTCTGCTTTTCTGCTCCAGCTCCCCAACAGCATGCCCCATCTCAGACAGGCCTGTTCCTCAGCAGTGTCACTGGATTGTGACAGGAAGAACCACCCTCTGTGTGCACTCAAATTCATCTACTGGGTTTGGAGGTTACTGTGCTACCAAAGATATCACACTCAAGGAGTGATAAGTGTCAGTAAAAAATGACGAAGTACACACACAGCAAAAACATTCTCACAGGCCACAAAGAAACACCCAACCTATGGCCACCCATCTAAGAGCCCAGTTCACCCCACCAAACACTGCTGCTACACTCCCCAGCCCAGCCTGCTCAAGGCCTGCTGCCCAGTCTATACAGGAGGAAACAACAGACACACTTCTCTGAACTGTCTTCTAATCACAGATACATTTTAGAATTCTTTCCACATCAGAAGAATGAGACAGCTTGGTTTTTTCTGCCGTATTTATCTTTTCCATCTAAACAGCAATACGTAAGACATGTTCAGTGCCAAAGGCACTAAAAGATGCACACTTCTCTTCCCACCTTTGCCTGCCCATCTGGATCTGTAAGGCACAGACCAGGTCACCCCACTGATTCCTGTGCTTCCTGTGCAGTCTTGCATCAGAGCCACAGTTTGGACAAGCCATGGTCCTCAGGATAAACCTACAGTCTCTGACAAATGAGGGGCTCTACCATCAAAAGGCACAGCAGCTCCAGTGGGAGTTATAACACCCATGGAGGTACCCACTCTTCCAGAGTCTTGGGTCCCACTTTCCCAAAGATAGGAGCTACTGAGTATTTGCTGTAACATCCAGGACTCTTCTATTTCTTCTGTTGTATCTTGCATGACCTCATTCTCAGCTCATTCCCAACTCAGTCTAGCTTTCTTATTGTAGGGGCTAAACTCACTAAGGTTGGAAACCTTCTAGCTGTTAAATATGTTATCTATATTTTTCCTATCAAGACTTTTGGGCTTTGCTTCTCATTCTCATATTATTTGTTAGTCTGCTCCTTGCCCTAAGAGGCCTTTCTCACTCATGGTTGGAAAACCAGTTTCCAACACTTTCTTTCACAGTTTGGTTATTCTGTATAGACACTAAATCCTCTGAAATTCTTTTTAAAACAACAGATATAGGAAAGTATAATTTACCTACTCTCTGACCTTTTAAAGTATACAATTCAGTGGGTTTTTTTAAACCACAGAGTGATGCAACCAGTCCCACTACCTAATTCTAGAATGGAGTTTATATTCATTATACACCAAGATGCAAGCATTGGCCTCTGACTTCCAGTGAAAGATCAAGTCAACTGTTCTAGTAATATTTACTGAGAAGTTTGTGACATCTTGATACTAATTTAAAATGCTACTCTTACCAAAACAAACAAACAAAACCTCTTTTAAACACACAGGTCTGCCATGGAAACCAGGGACCCTCACTCACACATCTTCACCCTGACATGACCCTGGTTACAGTGGTCTGCTGCTGCCATCTCCTGCTGACTCCTCAGAGTCAAAGGTCTCTACAGGCTACTGACTGCAGAGTCAGCAGCACTGCAGAAGGTTCTGCTTGGATTTTGATGCAAACTTCTGGACTTGTGGGCAACACAATGCATATTCCCATTCAAACAAAACACAGGTCCTTACATGAACATTTATCTTTTCTCAATCTCTTTCAACCAAGTTCTACCATTTCTCTCGTAAAGAGAATACCTTTTTTTGTTAAATTAGAGCACTGTTCACTCTTCACTACCGTCTTGACATCCATGGGTTCGTTTGTTGTTTGCTTGCTTTTAAACTTAGAAAAGACTTTTTTAAAAATCCCTAAGCATTTGGTTTTATTGATGATGCTGTCACCACATATTCTGAATGACTATTATAGCTACATGTGAAAATAGTTTGATCTCATGAAATCCAACTCAAGTAGCTGTGTTAATTTTTGGCCAGTTTTCCTGGATTGTCAGATGGATAATTAAAGTCTCAGTAACACTTCTCCCCTGGCCTTTTAAATATTAATGTTTCTTTTATAACATCAGATAGAACAGTCAATACTACTGTACTCATGTAAGAATTAAAGCAGCAACCTTGCCCTCATTTTATGACTGATGACAGAAATACTTTGAATTTCACCATTACATATGATTTTTCTTTGTAAGAGCCTGATGATTTTAGTCAGCCTTCTTTAATTATGACTGTTCTTTTTTTTTTTCCTTTTTTGAGGCAGGGTTTGGCTCTGTAGTTGAGGCTGGCCTTGAACTCTCCTTGTAGCCCAGGCTGGCCTTGACTCACTGCCTCAGGCTCTCGAGTGCTGGGATTACAGGTGTGGACCACCATGCCCAGCTACGAGTGTTCTTTTAATTCACTGGACAGTATTTTACTTTCAACAAGATTGAGCACTGAAACTACTTAACTACCTCCTTCCAAAACTCCAGCAAAGGGATTATAAAGGAGGGAAGGAGGGTTACCCTGGTAAGGTGTCCATGTGATGACAAGGCACATGTCAGCAATACAGAAGAAGGAAGAAGCTGAGATGCCCAGGAAACAGCAGGAGGAAGAACAGCAGCTCACATGGCTTAAACAAATGAGTAAGTAGAATCTGATGTGGCTGAAGCCTGTGCAGGGAGGGAAAGGCGAACAAGCAGATTCCTTGCTCCTGTATCTCTCCTGGGGGAGCTGGCAGGAGACCCAAAGCTGACAGTGCCTGAGTGTCAACCAGTCCTGCCAGTCCTCAATCATAGGACACACCTCTGTTCACCAGGCCCAGCTACAGATGCAGGGAAGGTAAGGGCCTACCTCTTTCCTCACTAGCACCCAAATGACTGCTGCATCTAATGCATCACAGTCTTTACGAACAGCCTCTGAGCCACAGTGAAACAGGGTAACCAGCATTTCTAGACCAAAGAATAACTACCAAATGGTTTTCCAAAAGCACAAAGGGGCAGATGAGTGGCTGAGATGTGAACAGCCACTTCACAAAATATGGTATCCATGAGGCAAAGATACACTAAAAAGCATTCAGTTTTCTTGACATTCAAGGAAGTGCAAATTAAAAATATCATGAATGCATACTCTATGCTCAGTGGTTGGGCAGGGCTGACTTCGGCAGGTCAGCACAGAATATAGAGTACCTAGAGACAGCTGGCATGAAGTAAACTGACACAATGAACTGGCAAAACAGTATGGCAGTATCTGTAGTTTAACACTCGCATGCAGACCCCACTTCGTGTGCTCGAAGGAATCAACCGTGCACAGGGATACTAATGGTATTGACACTGGGAATAGTGCCAACAGAAACCGCCAACATGCCCATCAACAGTGGGATGGACACACATGCCAGAAGCAGGGCACAAAGGAATACTGCATTGTGGTGGTTTCTCAGACATTCTGGCCTCAAGATGTACTCTCTGAAACGATTCATTAACAGTTTTGAAGTCATTTATGGTAGTGGAAATTTAGGCTGAGAATATTCAAACCACAACAACACAGTCCTTCCTGTGAAGGAGAATGAGACAGACATTTCAGCATTGCTATGGTAACAGTTCTGATCCTAAGGAACTAGATACCTGCACCCAGTCAATGCAGAAAACTCCTACTCTAAAATAATGATGATCAACCAATAATATAAAAACCCAAAACACACTAAAACTGAACCAAACAATTCTACAGTGCTAGCACTCAGGCAACAGTCACTTATGGCAGAGTAAGGTGATGGGGAAAGGAATGAGGCTTCAGAAGTACAGGTGAAACTCAAGGCTCTGATGTGGGTGAGCTCATTATAAGGACGGTATTCTTTAATCATCACCCACCTATACAATCATTAATGTGTAACTATAAAATAATCTCCCAAATTTAAAGAACATAAAGCTGAACTTTATAAAACACCATTTACTCATGTGTTTATAAATTACTTTAGGGTGAGATCTTGCTGTATGCATACTGCCCAGGCTGGCCTTGACCCTGGCTGGGCCTCAGTGAGCCCTCAGCCTTGTTCTCATAAGTAACCAGATCACAGACATGCATCACTACACCAGTTTAAAATACCTCATAAACATACACATGGTTTTCACATTTAATCTCCTAATTTAGTAAATCCTGGTAACAGACTTCTAATAATGAATCAACCTCCCATTCCTGGAGTAAGGCCTACCTACTCTTTATTTGGGGAAAGGGAGATGAGAGAAGGTCTTACTATGAAGTTCAGGTTGGCCTTGAACTTACTATGTAATCCAGGCTGGCCCTGAACTCTCAGTGACCCTCCAGCTGATTCAGCCCCTTAAACAATGGGAGCTCTGGGATTATAAGCATATGCCACCATGCACAGCAAATCATTGTTATTTTGCTACATAGTTGCATTTGACTACTGTTTCATAAAGGACTTTTGTATTTAGGATTTTAAGTGATTTTAGCCCATAGCTTAGCCTCAGATTTGTTCAGCTTTTGTTTCTTGGTTCTTTGGTTGGCTTGAAAGTTATTTATTAGTTATTTTTTATTTTATGACAATACTCAGTTATGATTGCTCAGTGTCTATATCCTCTCTGAAAGATGTGAATATCAAAAACAGAATCCAGAAATACACAAATTCACATGCCATTTGGTATGCATAAGATTCAGCTGGCATTTTAAATTAGCAGGGGAAGGAATGTCAGGCAAGAGGTAGAGTAGAAACTGACTCAGCCTCTCTGAGAGAAATCCCAACACCCTGGCCTTACATCTCACCTTGAAGACTCATTGAGACACAATTAATTCACCCACTGTGGGATGCCTACCTCATCTTTTATCACAAAATAAATTCTATATAAATCAAATATTTTTAATGAAATTAAAGAAGTACAGAAGACAGCTTATGTCCATTTATGAAAAATCAGCAGTGAGGCAGGTAGGTTCATCGTAATTAGAACACAGAACCCTGAAGTTAGAACATGCTAGTGCCTTTGAGTTCTGACACTACAGACCAGGCCAAAGACTAGCAGTGGGGATCGTCAATCCAACAAATGAACTCCAGGCTCACACTAAGCTCCTAGGACCCCATCTGTAAACGATGTGTAACCCAGAGAAAAGTGGGCATAGGACAGAGTGGGGAGTTCATAGAACAAGTGCCAATGGCTACTAAACATGTAAGAAATTGCTGGGCCCCACTCATAATTTAACAGTAAAACAATTCCCACCATACATATCTTGAGAGGGAAGGTAAGAAAAACCATGATTACTGCAGGTATGACAGCAGGAACTGTATGGATGACTTGACCCAAAATTCAAAGTTTTTAAGCTGGATATGGTGATACACACCTATAACTCCAGCACTTAAGAAAGTGAGACAGGAGAATCATGGACTTGAGGAGGCCAGGTTTGGGTACAAAGCCAGCCTGGGCTACATAGCAAGGTCCTGTCTCCAAAAAAAAAAACACACCTGGTACTGATGACCTCACACTTACCAGCAAGTGTGCTGGGAAGACTACATAGCAAGATGCTCTCTCAACAACAAAAAAACGCTGATAACATTTATTACCCATGAGTATATTCAACGAAAGGCTATGAAATGGCCTGGAAGCACAGCCTACTACAAAAGAAAAAGTCACAAAAGGGAGTAAATGGAGCTGTAGAAATGATGATTTGTGCCAGGTGTGGAGGCGTTCAACTAGAGTCCATACCAGCACTCAGAAGCATAAGATAGGATTCTGAGTTTGAGGTCAGCCTGGGCTACATAGCAAGGTCCTGTCTCCAAAAAAAAAAAAAAACCACACACTCAAAAAACAAAAACAACAACAAAAAAACAAAACTAGAAATGATAATTTGTGCTGAAGAGTGGGGGGAAAGGAATGACTACCACTCCAGAGTATGTTCCTTCTCCTCCTCCCTGAAATAAGGCCTCCCAGATGGCTGGATGAGATCTTGCTCCTGGAAGGGGAGGATGTATTAGATAATCACTGAGTACACGGAAAATTACCTGGACTCTGGGATTACAATGCAATTTGTTGTCTTCCTTATATTCTCTATCTCAAAAGAAAGCTAACAATTATTTTAAATAAACTTTTAAAATATTTTATCTAATACTAGTATTTTCCACCAAATTTACTTTGTAATAATTAAGAGTGGGGGGGGGTAAAATTTTGTTTTATTGAGACATAGTCTTGGCTTTCTCACCTAGGTTGACCTCGAAATTGTGCAGTTCTCCTGCTTCAGCTTCTTGAGTGCTGGGATTATAGGTGTGTACCATCATGACCGGCTGACATTTTAAAAATTTGCTTCATACCAAAAAAAAAAAAAAATCAAAAGTAGCCAGACATAGTGGCACATACCTATAATCCCAACACTCAGGAGGCTGAGGCAGCAGGATCGTTGCAAATTCAAGACCAGCTTGGGCTACAAAATTAGCTCAAGACCAGTCTGAACCTCATAGAGAGAGACCTTGTCACAAAAAGACAAAAAAATAAAAATTTTAAAAAAAGTTTCAAAGCCTCTAAAAGGAGATACAGAGTACAAACACTACTGAAAGTACAAAAAGTTAAGCAATAGAATTATACATTTACTAACAAATCAATGAACAACAGCCCCAGGAACTTCTCTATAGTTTAGAATAACTCACATCAAGATGGTTCAAAATTTCCTCAAAAGAGTCTAACACATTTGGACAATAGACCACAGATAATGTTAGCATGACTCTTAGCCTCACATTGTTCCTCCTTGTCAAGTGTGACACTTGTAATCAATTCCTACCAGAAAGAGTGTAAATTTATGCTTAAACTTTAAAGTCCATTCTGGAGTTATTTCCAAGAATTTTCTAAGATTCCCTAAAACGCTAGGGCGAATGCTTAGGCCCGGTAGCAGCTATAGAGACCTAGGGCAACTGTTGATGGTGCCAGACCTGCTGGGGGAATGAGAAAGCTGAGGTCAGGGTAAGGCTCATTCCCAGACAGTGTGGGCTGCCTGTGCAGAGCACTCCGACATGGGGACACACCAGAGTTTCCAGAAATGCATGAGCAGCCACAGGCCACAGAACACCCTGTATACACATTTTCAAGGAAGGGCAGAGTCCCTAACCTGCACCAGTACAGCAGCTCTTTCATGAACCTGATCCAGGATACAATGAGGTAAACATGGTTAAACACAAGCAGTCACAGTAGAAACACAACAGGACATCAACTAATATTTGGGTCTGTTTTGTTCTGGGCAGTACTGGAGATTAAACCCAGCACCCCTGCACTGAGCTACATCATCAGCCCCTTTTTCACTTGTCCTTGCAAAGCAGTGTCTTACTATGTTGTTAAGTTGCCCAGGCTAGGCAATTTAACAACAATCAACCTGCAATCATCTTGCCTCAGTCTCCCAAAGTGCTGGGATTACAGGTGTGCACCACCATGCCCAGCAAATACTAATTACTAATACTCTTCTGCCTGCCATTTTGGAGCTTAAGAGTGTATGATGCTTCCATCAATGTTGCTACACAGGAAAACAACCACTCCTGAGGTGAAAAATAAATGGGTAACTCCAGAGAAATAAAATATAAAAATCCAAGCCAAAGTAAATGTGGAGGGAGATGGGAAGACATGACACACCACTTAAAAAACAAAAAATAAATAAGAAGTTTCCTAAGGGCCTAGTGCCAAGAGTCCTAACTCTCAGGACCTGAACTCTGTGATTCCCCTCACCTATCAAACTCCCACCCAAGAAAATGTGGTCCTACCTTTGGGGCACGGTCAGTCTCGGACATGCTCTCTTTAGAGGTCCTGCTGTCCTCCGTGGGAAACACAGCAGCCTGCTCAGCTCCGTGGTCATGATCCTCATCCTCCTCAAGCTCATCTGACTCATCTTCGTCCGAGTCCATCTCCAAGCTCTCCCCGTTCACATGAAGAGTACTGTCACCCAAGGCCTTCTCACTCTGGAATACAGAGGGTGCACAGCCCAAGGAGGACCTCTGTGCACTCTCTTCTACTGTGAGCCTCAGGAGACGGGTAGTGTGGGAGCCTGCCAGGGCCACAGAGGCAGCACACAGTACCCAGCACTTGAGACGAGCTGGGCGAGTGCATGGGCAGGTATAGGGGTAAAGGGTCTCCATATGCCACTTGGACTCAGCCTCTGCCCCCCAGCATAGGCATCTTGAGAGCTCTGGCTCCTCCACAACAATTGAGCTCATCAAATGACTGATGGCCACACACGATGGTCTTCAGCCAAAATGGTCCCAAACAGACAGACACACTAAAAAAGCACTGTGGCAAACAACTCACACACTGTTCTTACCTTGGAGCCCACGGTGGAATGAGTTAAACTCTTAAACATCTCAATCACCGTCCTCTGCTTTAACACTTTGGTCTTTTTCTTAGGAACCAGGCTATAGGTTCCCATTCTTCGTTTTTTCTTCCGAGATACTGCAGCTGCTAAAACAAAAGGCAAGCAAGCTAAAAAAAAAAAAAAAAAAAAAAAAAATCCAAAAGGGGACAGAGAGGAAAAGAAATACCATTCAACTGTTTTCAGAGGTAGGAAAGTATTTACAAAATCTGTTTACTAAAATTATCAGTATACTCCACCCTCTCAGTTACATTCTTGTGCGCATCAGCACAAAGCTGACAGGCTTCCCTCACTTGCTACCAACTGCAGAGAAAGCAAAATGCATCCAAGATCACTTTTTACACAGAATACCACAACATGCAGTAAATCCAAAATCTTCAGGAAGAAGGCCTTGACACATTCCACACCCAGACTCCCTGTCTCAGGCATGATGAACTCCACCCAAGAAGTCCTTTCATTCTACCAAATGCCCCACACTGTCTGCTGCAGAAAGAACACAGGGCCAAAAAGGAAGAGATCAGTCTCACAGCCCCTCACTGGTGCGGCCAGGCCGGGTTAGTCATCCTAAGGCACTATGACCTCTCTTCAGTGAGGCCTCTACACATAGCCATCTATACAACTCTGTGGCCCATCGGGAACCCTCACCCCAACAACTCAAGAACTAGGGGGAAAGAAGGTTCCTGGCATGCTATCTAGCTCACCATGAGCGTGCAATTGGAAACAACATGAGGAAATCCCGTGGGCCTAGGACTCCAGACACCTTATCACACAAAGCAGCTCTAGGTTAAAGGTTTAAAACCTGGAATTTAAAAACAAAAACCCTAGATCTCAGAAAGGTTTTTCTGAGAAAGGGTCTCCCTTTGTAGCCCAGAATGGCTGAAACTTGCAGCAACCTTCCTACCTCAGCCCCCCAAATGCTGGGATTACAGGTGTGGACCACCACACCCAGCTGAAGGGTTCTACGTAATGAGTTTGGGGGGGGGGGCGGCCTGGTACTCATGAACTCATGACCTCACACTTACCAGGCAGGTGCTTAAATCACTAAGCTAAATCCTTTGCCCCTATATGTAATGAGATTTTGCACATTTTTTTTTTTAAATCCAGGGTTTTTGTTTTGTTTTGTTTTTAAATTCCAGGTTTTAAAAAAAGATTCAAAACCACAGCTTTAGCACAGAATAAAGTACTGGGCGGGGAGGGCTTTAATGTTTTAGTTAGTCCTATAATACAGAAAGCAAGAACCCACTCAGGTATGACCCAACCAAAGCATAGGCTGTCAGAATCTCAGGGTTGCTAGGTCCAGGGAGAGCATGGGACCGTGATAGCAGTGGCCCCATACACCCTGCAGGCCACTTCCTGGAGTAGGCACCATGGCACAGGTCCTCAGAGAAGCACAGCTCTACCACAAAAGGCTGGACATCTGACAGGCCCACAGTACCTCTGTCCTAAGCACAGTCACCTCTGGCTCCCCAAAAACACTGCATTCACCATCATCATCAACTTTTTGTATTATGAGCTAAAATAGGCAAAGTGGTAGACTGATAACGTTTAAGTCTCTCAGCTTTATAAACATATAGTCAGGCCTCCATATCCATAGGTTCTACAACCACGATTCAACCAGTCACAGACTGAAAATATTTGAGTACTGGGAATGTAGCTTAGTGGTACACTGTCTAGGATGTGCAAAGCTTTAGGTTCAATCCCCAGTGCCACCCAAAACTTTAAAAAAATAAAGTAAGAGCCAGAGATTTGGCTCTATGGTGTAAACTCCTGCCAGGCAAGTACAACGTTGTGAGTTCGATCCCCGGTACCAAAAAAATAAAGTAAAATAAAATAAAATACAAAGCAAATTGGGGGGAAGGACATTGCACCCAGAATGTATACAAATTCTTGTCACTTCCTAAACATAATACAGCAATTTAGAGAGAACTTTCATTGTATTAATTGCTTCAGGTAACAGATGACTTACAGGCTATATAAGTGTATGCATAGCTCATGAAAACACTGTGCCACATTATACAAGGAACTTGAACATCCATGGATTGGAGTATCTATAGGGGGAGCAAGTACTGCTGACACCAGTCCATTATGGATACTAAGTACAACCATGTAGACCTTCACACTAGGTATTTGTTCTTCACTCACTCAGAAAAGTCAGGGCCTCCCAGGAATCAGCCATGTTGGGATCAAGCGGATCCAACAAGAAGCCAACCAGACAGCTTTTCTAGTAAGTCATACAAGCTGCACAGCTTCCAGGACGAGAAAAGTCAGCACCTCTCGTGAGCTTACCAGCGAGTGGGCTGAGAATCAAACCCCACCCTCTGCCACAAGCAACCCGTTGGTTCTGAGGATAGGCTGAGCTGCTAGCAACTAAGGTACATAAAGCAATTAAATGCTTGTATTGTCTGGATGATTCTGCAGGCCTGGGGCCAGTGATCTGAGCATCTCCTGGAAGGATGACAGTACGCAATACAGCAAATATGGGTGATTGCCTTCTATCTTGTCTTTGAAAACTAATATTGTTCTCACTGTTTTGGTTTCTTCTAATTGTTTTACTTTATTCAATATTCTGTTTTGACTGGTTTTATTCTGTTTTGTTTTGGGCTTGATTTTGCAGTACCTGATGGAATGGGCAATTGTGAAGATAACAAAACACACTATAGTAGCTATTGTTGTTTTCCTAGTGTTCTGCTTTGAAGTTCCGTACCAATTTTGTTACTTTGTTTTGATTGGCTTTGTTCTGTCTTATTTTGTTAGATTTTACTATCTTTAAAATAAAAAGAAAAAAATAAATAAAATGTGATAAAATAATAATGCTAAAATACAAAAATAATCTTAAGTGTGTTAACAGAAATACTGACTTTTGGCATTTCTTGCCAGTCCTATTGACATAAATATAATTGTATAGAACTTTGCAAAATGATAGGTTTAACTATTTAAAACAAGCAACACTGAGACCAAGTGGCCAAAAGGGCAGGAAGTGCAAAGATTGACTTTGTTTCCTAACCACCTCAGCACAAGTGAAAGACTCATGGCTCCCTCTGAAAAGGAAAATACAATCTGAGCCTGGTCCCTCTGGTCCAGTCAGAGGATCTAAAGAAAGGGCTGAGCCACACCCAAAGACTCAGGACCCAGCTGAAGCCCTATTGCACAAACTGGAGTGCAAAGCAGCAAAATGATAGTAATGGACAACAGCTCAAAGCCTATACTGAGTTTACAAGCTGCTGACTGTTTCGTCCGGAATGTCTCCAAGGGCCGATGTGTTAATGTGCTGGTCACCAGTGCAGCTGCTGTCAGGAAGGTAGAGCCTTTACAAAAGTCCAGTTGAAGTCTTCGAGTCACTACAGCCATGTCCCCAAAGGCAACAGAGGAACTCTGGGTCCTTGCTCCTTCCCTTCCCAGGTCTTTAGTGAATGGTTTTGCTCTGCCTTGCACACCTACCATGATATTCACATAGGTTTAATGCAACAGGACAAAAGGACCAATCAATGCTAAACTGCAACCTCTAAAATCGTGCCAAAATATACCTTTCCTTTTCATTTATAAGTTATTTGTTACAGTGATCAAAAGCTGACTAATACACCATCTTTTTTCTTTTTTTTTTTTGAGAAGGGTCTCAACAGTGCAATCCAGGCTAACCTTGAATCACTAAATTGCCCAGGTTGGTCTTGAATTCATAAAATTCACAACCCTCCTGCCTCAATTTCCCAAGTACTAGGATTATAGCATGCCCAGCTATACCATTAATACTTATAGACAGACAGATGATAGATAGCTAGATAGAAGATGGAAAGTGAATCATTCCTTACAGCAGAAACAGAACAGAAAAACAGAAGGAGTGGTAGAGAAAGAAAACTACCATTGGGCTCCACCTTGCCATACATACTTCCTGGTGGCTATGATAAAAAGCAAGTTCCCCACAAAGCCTCTCAATCTCTCCCCTCTATACACAAGGTACCTGCTTAGGACAAACTGGAAACAGGAACTTTCTGAGGGAGAGATCTGCAGACATTGCCGGCACCATCGGAACAGAAGGCTGCCCAACTCCTAGGGACACATGTCAATTCCCAGAACTGAACTGACCCTGACGAAGACGGGGAAACACCATGTCCAACAGATCCTACAGAATACCTACCTATATTCTCAAAATGCGAAGGTCAAGAAGGACAAAGGCGGCTGGGGACAAGCACAACAACCAGGTAACTGTGATATCTAGAGCCAAAACTGACTTTCTTTTGTTATAAGGGACAGTAACAGAAAACTGGCAATAGGTAAGCAAAGTTACTAAAATAAAACACTTGCATCACGACAAAGTTAATTTCTAATTCTGATTACTGCATTGCAGTTATTTAAGAGAGTGTTCTTATTTCTAGAGACATCACACTGTTACCTCAGGAAATGCACTTAAGGTAGAGGTTCTAAGTCTACATAGGGCAACTTAACATTCATTTTTCAGAAACAACAAAACCAAAAGAATGGTTATATCACCAGGAAAGAAGGCCTAATTGTGGTAAAAGGAGTGCAGGGTATATAGGAATTCTCTGTAGAATTTTGCTGCCTTTCCATGTCAGAGGGATTACCCATCTCTTAAGGACAGAGCTTCATACACCCCTTCAGGCTGACAGGAAAGCCTGGGGACCTGAGGTGTCCCTCATTCTGAGGCATACACCCATCATCAGCCTACACATGTGGCAACTTGTGTTCCCCCTCCTTTCAGAGATCTCCCATGGTAACACAGAGTTCACCAACTCCATTGCCTGACAAGAGGACATACAAGACCAGTACAGCAAGAAGAAACACCCATGGGTGGGCAGGTGCTAACAGAGCAGAGGCAAAGCCTCCCTTAACCTCAGTCCAACACACTGCATGCTTCCAAGAGCACTTAACTGAGGACCAGGAGAGTTCCCACATCCACGGTCCTCCACTCATAAGCACAAGGGTCAGAGCTTGACACAGTGTTCACCCTGAATATGAAGGTAAACAAAACAAGTAACACAGTCAAGAGGCCAAAAGGCCAGGGCAAGGAAGGGAACACAAAGGTACTGTACAAGGAAGGCACAGAGCCAAAGCTGGGGCCTCTCTAGCTGTGCAGGGCAGCTATATGTCTCAAGCAACTCTTTCTAGAGGGTGCAGGCTCCAGACACACAATAGGAAAGAAGAATTGTTGTCCCCCTTTACCTGTCTGTGACTTCGTGGTGGCCATGTAGCATTGATTCTGAGGTAGCGACTGGTGAAGGGACGGGAAAGGGGGTAAAAGCTGTTGTCGTCCACAATCAGAAACGTTCCTACCGATCTCTTCTTTTGGTTCCTTATGGTCTCTCGCTTCCCGAACTTCTCTGGAGTCCTTGCTGGCTGCATGCTTCAAAATAAAAACAGTTAGTGACTGTGACTATGTACAAGCAGACAGTTACTCAAATAACATGCACCTCAAATCAGTTCTTTCTCCATTAGTTCACCTCAACTGAAAGATAAATGGGTGGGCAAAGAGTTCAGAAATCCACACAGCACAGCTATCATCAAATGAGCATCTAGTAGCATGGCACATATACCCTGTCCCTAATTAGGTGGCTGAAGTCAGCATCTCAAACTATAGTCCAACCTACAAACTGTTAACACGGTCACGAAGGGCCATAATTCATGTCTCACTGCGGGGCGGCTCTATTTGAATTCGGTCACTCCACTGGCTTGAACCACTGGTGGGTACATTCATGATTGTCTCACTGGGTAGACTGTATTGCTTTTCAGGGGGTCTTTCCTTACAATAATGCAAAGAAAGGCATTGATTTAGCACACCAAAAGTCATCATACTACAGTTCCTTAAGGGAAACATTAAAGTGGTATAAAAATTGTAACAGCTAATTTGTGGGATACTAGTTATAAATACATACTATATTCATCAGCAATGGGGTATTAGTAAGATTTCCATGTTAAAATTTAAAGAATGTTATAGATAAACCATAAATATAAACTTCTTTTAATTTGATAAAATAAATTGTGGTGACTACTGTAATGATTTTAGTAAGAGTAATATTAATTATTATTTATATTCGGACAGTAGTCATTCAAATTCAAGCAACTAACTAGATTTGATCCATTCACAGACTTTTTATTAATTTTATTAGACATAATAAAAAGACATACAAGTGATTAAATCTGTTTGTAACACCAGTGATATAAGCCGCTCAATGGATCAGTCATGCATGTACCACCACGGGTGGCTCAAGCTGAGGAAAATGTTCAAAGTCTAACCATCAAGGAGGGAAAGTAAGGAAAAAAGTAAGCAAGGGAAAGAGGAGAAGTAGCAGCAGGAGGTATATGTGGTTGACAAAACCTGAAATATTTTTTATTTAGCTTTCTGCAGAAAAAGCTTGCCGATCTCTGATTTAGGTAATAAATATTATCAAACTAAACCAGGTGTGGTAACACAAGCCTATAATCCCAGCAATTGGAAGGCTGAAGCAGGAGAATCATCATGAGTTCAAGGCCTGTGTGAACTATACAGTGAGACTCTGTCTCAGAAAACCAAAAATAAACAAACGAACAAATATTACCAAGCTAAAAGATACCCCAAAACTCTCAGGAGTGTTTTCACAGTTTACCACAGCTATGCTCTGCAACATCTCCAAAATGACATGTTGTGTAAACATACTGTTTCATTAGTGTGAAACAATGAAAGAAAAAAACATGTATATGTTTATGTATATGTACATTAAAAAATAGTTAAGATAGTTATACTACTGATTTCTGAGTTGATGAAAAGTAAGATTTGTACTGGTGTTGTTTGGATAATTGAAAGCAGATGCTTATACTCTGGGTATATGTTTTGGGGATGATAATGTGCAATGTATATACCAGTGTTACCCCCCTGATTGATGTACTTTAAAAGTTTGTTGTAGTCCTTCTCCTCTTCCTTCCCCGCTTCTTTTATTTGTTTTTATGTTTGAATAAAATGGCCTGGGGGGATAACATGTGTTTTGTTCCACATAGCTAATTACGCTGCATTTAAAAATTATCTTCTACTCACAGTTCTGACAAAGCATCCCTTTTTCTGCTCACTAACACCAGGGAGAAGTGGCCAAGGTTAAGAACAATTGTAATTCAAAGCACTGGATGAACACTGGGTTCCAAAACATGGGTTTAGGGGATTCAGGATACACTCCTTGAGGTAACAGTGGGGTAGGCAAGCAAATAGGGGAGCGCCAGCTGAGAAAGCAAACGTAACATACTTAACTAGAGAGAGCTGAAGGTTGTGTCCACCGCAGTGGGAGGCCAGGGATGGGCTGCTCTCTGCTATCTAGCTCAAAAGGAGCCCCCTACATTTGTCTACACCCTGCCTTACATCCTGTGTCTCACACACAGCTGCTCTCTGTGCCTCTTGCACACTCTGTCTCACTTATACACCCTGTCAGTGTATGACCTAAAAGTTTCTCAGAAACAGCCCTTCTTTCCTTAAGCCAAGTGAAGTTGCTCAATGTCTCACTGATATCCAGAACACAGAGGCTATGTGATGCTCTTGCTGGCCACTGAGCTAGTGAATGGCTATGGTCTGAATGTGTTACACATTGTCATATGTTGAGAGGTAATCTTCAAATCTATAGGTTAATGGTATGGGGACGAAGAGTCCTGGGAGAGTCCTGAGAGTACAGGGTTCAGGAGCCACGCAGGCAGGGCCTGCAATGGCATACACAGGAAACCTCACTACTGGCACACTCACTCTGTCCTGCTATGCAACCCTCTGCTGCTGCCATGTCACAATGTAGCAAGAAGACCTCACCAGGTGCCATACCATAGTTGGTCTTCCCAGCCTCCACAACTGTAAGCTAAACTCCTACTTTGCAAATCACTCTGTAGCACAACAGAAAACAGACTGGCACAGGAACCAGCTCTGGTTTCCACCTCTGGTGACCCAGCTCTATGAAGTTTTCTGTTGCTTACCCCAGTGGACACCCACCCAACTCACCAATCTTTTGCCCTAGGCCCTATGCTTTCCCCTGAAGGCCTTGGAACTTACTCTACTTCCAGAATGCTCTTTCCTTTTCCCCTAAGGATTAACTCTTTCTTCCTCCAAACCACAACTCAAGTATGACAGCTCCTTCTATAACCGCCACTGTGTAACCACCCTCAGCACACAAAGCACTGTTTTAAGGGACCAGCGTAAAGCTACTAAACCTTTCTCCACACATCAGGCTGGGCACTGATGCTGCCACCATCCAAGCGCAGGACTCAGCTGCTGCTCCTATGCCACCTACCAACTACCAACCAGACAGCACCCACCTCAGCTAATGCTTGCAGGCAGATACAAAATGGAATTTTAACAAACACATAAACGTCTGAAGAGGAAATAACCACATGCAGCTAATCCTTGTTTAGGTATAAAATCTACTATTTCGTTTAAGAGATTATTTTCAAAATTTTAAAAAATTAAGAACTACTAAACCAAAGTGAGGATTCCAGACCTTGTCCATACCCTTGTCTAACACAGTACAACCATGAGAAAAGAGTACCTGTGCACATAAAGGCACAGCAGCTGGCCTGTGTCCTTACACAGCCTTGCCAACCACCTCAATCATCACTGCCAGGCTATATATCCCGGGCTCTCCCCTCCTGGCCTGGCCAATTCCTGGGTACCATGCACCATTGCTAAGAACTGAGTCCTCCCTCACAGTGGAAGAGCACGGTCATCTTCCTTCCTGAAGCTAGCGCTCAGTGCCAGGCATGTGTACAAGAAAACAGGATGCAGTAACAGAGCCAGATAAGAAAGTGTGGGCCACCAGTTGACTCCTCTTGCAGTATGCACAATTCAGTTAAGAAAGAAACTACAGAATCTCCAAAATCAGAGCTAAAGAGTTCTTAGACATCAGACCAAGAGCAAAATTCAGAAAAGGAAACAAACAAACTGAATTTCACCAAAATGACAAAAAAAAAAACCTGTCCTCATTTTGACTCTAGGTATACTCTAGGTACAAAAGATGTAACCATGAAAAAAGACTGGGTAAAGGGTCCATGGGATGTCTATGCCCCTGTCTCTTTTTTTTTTGAGACAGGGTCTTACTACATAGTCCAGGCTGGCCATGAACTCACAGCAATCCTACCTCAGCATCCTGAGTCCTGGGATTACAGGCATGCACCACCATGCCCAACATGTACTATTTTTGTAGCATCCTGATAATCTGTAATTATTTTAAATTTTCCAAAGTAGTAACATATTCAGGAAAATACTGTGAAAGGTCAATACTAAGTCAGGTTGGCCAAGAGGGGTGCTACGAAAACCCTACACCAGGGCTCAGGCTACCAGTAGATGTCATGTAAGAAGGCATCCAAACAGCAGCCTAGCAGTGGCCAAAAACACCTAGAAGCAATGAGACCTCAAGTTTTGAGGCTGGCCAGTGCAATTCCAGGCTGCACCCATCACCACCTCATGATCATAGTACCAACCCAAGATACACTGCCAGTACTCAGGCTGGTCCATTGCCATTAACCCAAAATCAAGCACACCCCTAAAGAGGAAAAGTCAATACTGGAGGGGGAAAATGACCATGTACAAGAGCTATCATGTCTAAACAGAACACCTCTGAGGAATCGAAATTCACTAACAGAGACTGTGGAAAAAATTAAAATCAGTACATCTTGAAGGATAAGATGAAACACGATGTAGAACTAGTTTTAATTAAAGGAACTAATCAGGTATTGAGTATGAAAAAAGTCAAAATCAATACATGGAATGAACAGAAGAATGAAAATATATATATATGCATGTATGTATTTTTGTTTGTTTCTTTTTTGGTTTGGGGGTTTTTTTTTTTGAGTTTTGGGAGCTTTTTTTTTTTTTTTTTTTTTTTTTTTTTTTTTTTTTTTTGGTACCAGGGATTGAACTCAACCTCGTGCTTACCAGGTAGGTGCTTATGCTAGTGAGCGAAATCCCCACCCATGAATAGAAGACTATAAAGTGGAATTGGAGACCGGTGAGGCTGTCCACAGAGATGGAAACCAACACTCACCTGAAGGAGATGGAAAGAAAATCATACATAACATTTTCCTGGAGTTGACAGACTGGCAGAACTCATTGATGAGGGGGAAAAAAATGGTCCTGGAACCCTAAGGTTGCAGAGGAAATGTCAGATGACCTATACAGTATGGACACGTGAGCTTCAGAATGCCACCAGCAATGCCAGATACTACAAAGTTCAAGGGAAGGTGATCACAACCCAGAATATATCCTCAGCCAAATTAATACTAAAGCAAAATAACAGCATTACAGACATTTTAAAAGATATTCAGACAAGCACTGCCAATGCTAAATGTTCAGTATACAAGACTCATTTCTTTTTCAAGGTAAGCCTAAGCCTGGTGCATTTCAGGTCCTTTGTCATTGACTGCATCACACTTGGCCTTAACCAACTTCATTTCCACTTGCTTCTCAGTGAGAGAGTGGGTGCTGAGTTCTGCTGAACTAGACTAATGCCTCCAGGCCCACTGCAGATGAGGAAGCAGTCTCCTCAACAGTGCCTGACATATCGCCACACAGAGTGAGAGAACCCTTTCCAAAAAGCCACAGCTGGGGAGGTGTCAAAGGCAGCATCTCCTGACTGCTCACAAGCTGGAAGTGACCACTACTATGCAACCACTGCCATTCACTGCCTTTTCGCTTTAATACACCAAGTATTAAAGGTCTACTTGCCACTAAGACAAAGGAGAAGAAAGGAAACAACAACAGAAGGCACAAAATTACCAGGCCTAAAATGGACTTCGGCATGGTCTTGCGTGCCCTGTGAACCTTGACATCAGTGCCAGAAGCTGCAGGTTTCCGGTCCTCTGCATCTGCTCCCCCAGGCCCAGGCAATGGTGCTGCGGCTGGTGCCTGAGGAAGTGCACTTGGAGTCCTGCCTCTACCAGCCACCCCAGGCAGGGTCTTTGCAGCATGGCCAGGAAGCGAGGAGGCTAGGGTACTTGGAGTCCTCGAAGGCTGCCCCTGGAGAGCAGATTTGCCAAAGAAGTATCCATTGCTACCGATGACGGATGTCTGAACGAAGTCATCAGCAGCGACGTGATTCTGCTTCCCTACTTCTACGTCTCTTTCCGAAACCCCATTCTCCGCTATCCGGGCTGCTCTGTGGCCACCTTCCTGGGGGCTGGATCTGGTGCTCTCCTGAGTGAGTTTGGCTCCATCCATGTGGCTGGTGTCACCGCTCTTTTCACAGGCCCCATTGGTCTCCCCATCTGCAGCCATGGGAGTTTCTCCCACTGGTTTCTCAGCAAGACCTTCATCAGCAGCCATAAGAATATCTGTGAAAGAAAGAGCATCACCACAGCTGGCAGCTGGCCTCCATGAACCACCACCAGCAGGAGCTATAGTTCATTCAGGTGGCTTCTCTGAAACATCTACTGAAATCCTTTCAGTAAAGGAAACACAAACCAGCACTTAAGTTCAAACAAAAGAAATACAAAGCTATTTCTTAAAATTAACTTCTGGTTAAATCTGAGGAGTCATCACAGTATGAAAAGCATGAATGTTGTCAGAGATTAAAAAAAAAAAAAAAAAAATAGAGCTGCAGTGCTGGGCGTGGTAGCACACTCAGCACTTGGAAGGCTGAGGCAAAGGATCACCAGGAATCTGAGGCCAGCCTAGGCTACATGGTGAGCTCAAGACCATTCTGAACTATACAGTGACAGTCTCAAAAAAAAAAAAAAAAAAACCTCCCCAAGCAACTTCACACAAATAAGCAGGGAGACAGGCCAATGAGGGCAGCTTCCATGATACCCTCTTTGGGAAGCTGTCTCCTCAAGACAATTTACAGTCATTTCCAGGATGGTGAGAAACAAGAACACATTCTGCATCAGGAAACAGAAGAGTACACTTAACTTGATGATGAGTTGAGGCAGGAGACACATGACTACATCCCTACAGGGAAGAGAAGCTTCAGCCAGGCCAGAGCTCCACCTTGTTCACCTTGCTGTCACACCTATCACCTGATACACAGCATTCTTTGCTGATTGTGTTATCTGCCCATCCTCTCGGATGTGGCACATCAAACCCAGGACTAGTACATACCATGTACGCAATTAATAATCTTTTCTGAATGAATCAACAGCTATTAACCATTTTTTTTACACCCTTAACAAAACAGAATATGTAGAAACTTCCTTAACTTAGGAAGTTAAACATCAAATTCCAAAGTAAATGCATACCTATTCATAAATTAATTGTATTTAAAATCCGAAATAACTTACAGACATGTATTAATACTGCTTACTATAAAAGAAAAAAGCTACTAGGTTAGGTGACACTAAAGAATAAAAGAGAAAGCTAAATGTTAGCAACAAAGGGGTTGAATAGCCTCATTACACTTGATACATTAGAAAATTCCAAGGGACAGAGGAGGAATAGAGACAGGAAAGGGCCAACAGATAGGAAACAAACACCAGACAGCTAGGAGTCTTACAAACAGGGTGAGGTATTGGTGAGTGAAGAGAACATGAGCAGCTGAACCCCAGAGCTAGCAGAGAGCACCAAGTCACCATGTCACTCAAGAAGTCAGCAGTAAGAGGCCTCAATCTGGCTGGCTGGAGACCTATACCACTTAGAGGTTGTTGGGGTAAGGGCAGAATGCAGGCAAAAGGGGAGCTTGGTGTCCGGCAGAGGACAGACCTGGGCCAGATCCCCTATATATTCCAACCACCAGTGTTGTGGGGAGGGTGCAGGAAACCAGTAAGTACACCACATTCCAAGTTACCTAGCAAGCTGCTCTACAGTGTGGTTAGATAGATCATGTGCACACTCAGGGCACAGCATTTTAGCACATACAGAACCAAGTGTCCACACCTACTTCTTATCAAACAGCCTCCTCACACTTCCTCCCACTGCCATTTCAATGCCTCTCCCTATGTCCTCCAAGCCTCTAGTCCACCTTGTCCAGAATATATAAATGGAGTCACATAGCATGTGGCCTGACATATGGCCTCCTTCGCCTGGCTAAACACACATAAGCTTCATCCCTGTTGTGGCATGACCCATGTATACAACCTGCTCACCATCCCATCATGTGGCTATACCACAGTCTGTCTATCCAATTGTATCAGGAGAGGCCACAGTGGGTGCCAGTTTCCAGTGGTATAAATAAAGATGCTGCAACATTCATGTAACCATTCATCTTCACTTTCAGGGTATACTTTAAGGTAAGGATATGTGGAGGTTTTGCTTTTCATACTTTGTTTCTTCCTTCTCAAGCAGATCTTTCCATGTGTATCTGTGTGTGTGTCTGTCCGTCCGTCCGTCTGTTCAGGAATGCAAAGAGATGAGGAATTATACAATAACCCCAGGTACAAATAAGACGTCAGCAGCCTTGGACAGATTGTAGGTGGACAATGTCACTTCTCCATCCAGCAAACATATTCCTTACCTTCTCTCACCAGCTCAGTTTTCATGCAGCAATCCTGTTTAGTTTCCCCCTTGGCTGGAACTGCCTGCTTTAAAAACAAAACAAAAAGCCATCAACCTGCATACAGCAGAGACAGAGGGCACAACCCACTAGCACGATGTCTCTAAAACAAATCACAGTTACAAAATTCACTATCAGATTCTCAGGATTGAGTTCTTCAATCTATAGATAGCACAGTTACGTCCAGGAAGAGGGTAGCATTCAGAAAATAGTCCAAAGAAACACCCATCTATTCTATAGTTCTGGGAATAGTTTTTTAACAGTAAGAATGTGCTACTGTATTATATAAATTCAAAATGCTTTGATATGTCATAGGAATGCTGTATTTTTATATGCATTCTGCTACCAACAATAATCCACCTAAGGAGGCCAGGGATTTAGCTCAGTGCCACAAGTGCCTGCCTGGCAAGCGTAAGGTCATGAGTTTGATCCCTGGTACCAAAAAAAAAAAATGTTTTAATCATAATAATCCACTTAAGTCAGTGGTGGCAAACCTATCGCATGTGTGCTACAACCAGCTGTTTATCAATGAAAGCTCTAAAAGGCACGAGCCATAACTGACCTTAGTATTTCAAATGTCTAACAACTTATAAAGAAGTTTACAGAAATGACTAAATCCAGAAAATTTCAATAAGCTAGTCAAGTCACTAAATATTTATGTGCCTACCACATTGAGGCATACTCTATACCATACAAGGTGTCTAGAGATTTGTTTTTTAAAACTAAAAAACCTCAGAGCTGGGCGTGGTGGCTCATGCCTGTAATCCCAGCACTCAGGAGGCTGAGGTGGGAGGATCATTGCAAGTTTGAGACCAGCCTGGGCTACAAAGTGAGCCCAAGGCCAGCCTGAACTGCATAGTGAAACCCCGCCTCAAAAAGACAAAAAAAAAAAAAAAAAAACTAAAAAACCTCATCCTGAAGAGGTTTGTAATACCTCTTGAATGTAAACACACCCAAAATATGCTCTTAACCAGGTCTTTACAGACAAAAGTGGTAGTAGAATATCAGCAAACACTCTGCCCACATTTGGGGACAGGGGAAAAGATGCAGACCACTCTGGTATCAGGCTCAGAGAAATCTAAGTGCCTAAAGACACCAAAAAGTTTTCTCAGAACGTTCCCACTAAACCTTGAGCTCATCGCTAATTCTACTTCACACCCTATCTGAATCCCAAGAGCAAAGCCATTGCCCATCTGTCACTCTGAGCCCCCAACCCTGATATCACCCTTCCTTCCTCAATCCTGCTGCAAACAAATGTCTGACCTCCTCAGTGTTCCCCGAATGCTCCCACCAGCAGCATTCTTGGGAAGGGCTGATAACTTCTTTATACCCCAGAAATACAGGTCAAGAAAGGATATGAGTAGTGCCAATCTTTCCCCAGCTTCCGGTGAAGCTCAGCCTTTACTGTAAGCTGAGCACCTCAGAGATCCCTGAAAGACCTGTTTTTTGACATTCATTCAGGGAGAGCCCATCAGGACAGCTTGATCCTGCCCTTTAGTTGGCAACTGATGGAACCTAGGGGACATCAAAAGTCATCTCTTCCCAGTACTTGGACTAAAGGTCAACCACTATGACTAAACACCCATCATGTTCCAGGTAGGCAGAAAACCTCAGTAGTAAACAGGTCCTGCCCCAGCAAATTTGATATCAAGGGTAGGGACCAGGCTAGTTGAGTGGTTTTTACATTTCCAAAGGCTTATGAACAACAAAGGACAACAGAGACCTCTGAGGTCAAAGCTACCTGTGTGAATCTTTTCAGAAAAAGATTCCTGTTCTAGGTTGGAGAGAAGCAGCAGAAACAAACAGATTAACCTGTAAGAGCGCAGACTGCTATGAAGTCTGTAAACTGTATTTCAGTGGCACAGCACACCCAGCACTCCTGTTGTCTGTCCGAGGCCTCTCTTACTGTCTCACCAACTGGCTCCAGGGGGAGGCATTAGTTCTTTCCTGCTGCATCACCCCACCACATCCCAGGACCTGGCATGTAGAAAGAGGAATAGACAGTCTTCCCAAAGACCAGAAAGGTTCTGGGAACGCCCCCCCATGAGCCTGTACCTTCACTTGTACATCTGTTTTCCACTCAGGATAGACCCAAATGATGCTGGGAACATCCAAGCTGCACAATCAGTATCTGCTGCTTGAAACAAGGAAAGGTCAAGATACAACCATCTGTGATCCTCGTGGAGGGTCAGCACAGAGGTGGACAGTCCCAGGAATGCGCATGGAAAGCTTGGCCAAGACCAGAGCAGGAAGTAAAACTGAAACTCAAATGCTCTGTGGTTGAACCTACATTTTATCTAACAAGAGGATACATGCTCTCATCACTTTCTCAAAGGGGACAGAAACCTAATGCTCAGAATTCCTGACATGGGTAGACACTGAGCTAGAAAAGGCTTGTGGATGGGACCTGCAACCCAAAGCATAACAAGTGCCATCTCACTCCAGTTCATGTTATTGTCACTTCTTTTTTACAACCATACTTGCAATGCCAGAAGCAAATGGATCCACTGGCAGATTTTTTAAGTCCTGATCCATCTTCAGCTCAGGGGAGAGAAATGACATCTTGACAATAAAATGTCCCTTTTGCTGGGTGACCTGCATTTATCCTCTGCAGAGGAGCCTTAACACACTCCTGAAGAGGACAAGGACTGGTTTTGGGCATGGAAATTGCTGCCAACAACACTATGAACAACAGAAACTCTAATCACATCAGAGTCCTCAAATCAATGGCCTTTGGCAGCAACAGGCACATCAAAAACTGCACCTTGGATCCTATGTACCATCTCTCGTAAGTACCAAAGCTCCTGAAGAAATGGCCTTTACCAGACTGAGGCAAGCAAATTATAAATCAAGTTCAGAGCATCGTGTACTGCCCAAGAAAGAAAGTGCCAAAAGGATGACAGGCATGTCACAAGAACACCGCAAAGCCTGATGGGGCTCCTACTGGCTAACTGTGGGAAATTCAATAAACAAAAAGGAATGATGACAGTAATAGATTATAACCCACTCAACACAATGAGGACAGCATGAGTCCACATTAACATTAAACAGATGGATTAAAAACAAAAACATGGATGATCAGTAAGAATTCTGCCATCCTGAAGAACAGTGATCACAGAACCTCAGGCCACAACACCGCCCAAGCTCTGGAGGCTGGAATTGGCTGCTATCCTCACACACAAAAGAAGTCATGGCACAAAGAGAACCACTGTGAGGTCACTTCTAGCCACAGTCACCTCATGCCCACAAGGCACATCATAGATCTCCTCAGACAAAGATTGCTGATGGGCACACCTCCCAAACCTTCTCTGAACTACAAAGCCTGAGGAAGGACAAGGTCAAGGTCAAAAAGAGGTCTAAGGCTGGGGATTTAGCTCAGCGGCACAACCGCCTGGCTGGCATGCATCAGGTCATGAGTTTGATCCCTAGTACAAAAAAAAAAAAAAAAAAAAAAAAGAGTTCCAACGTGAGTGTCTCAGTCACATTTCTGTCACTGAGACACAAGCCCAATACCCAAACATACTTTACTGGTCCCTAGTTTTGGTCTGCAGCTAGCTGGCTTCAAGGCAAAAATGGCATGAAAAAAGGGCCTATGCCAAGGACTGCTGCTCATTCCATGCCAGCCAGGAAGCAGAGTGGGAAGGGAGGAGCCAGAGAGAGATGTACCCTCCTAGATCACATCCCCAGTGACCTCCCTCTTCCAACCAAGCTCTGGCCTAACCAAGAGCCAAGTTCAGCTATTCAACTGGATTCAACACATGAATCCAGTGATGACTACTGAGCCCCACAAGCCAATCACCTTCTACACACAGAAGAATTATGGGGAATGGTTTAGATCTAAATCATAACAAAGGGCAAGAACAAGTGGTTCTTCCAGCAGGTATTACATGTTTAGTCATTAAAAAATTTTAGTCGGGGGGGCTGGGGATTTAGCTCAGCAGCATAAGCGCCTGCCTTCTAAGCAGGCAGTCATGAGTTCGATCCCTGGTACCGATAAAAAACGAAAAAGACAAAAAAAAAATTTTTTTTTTTAGTCGGGTGTGGTAGTGCACGCCTGTAATTCTAGCACTTGGGAGGCTGAGGCAGGAGAAGTGCTTCAAGTTCAAGGCCAGGCTAGGCTACAAAATGAGTTCAAGGCCAGCCTGGACTGCATAGCAAGACCTCATGTCAAAAAACAATGATTTTTTTAAAAAATGCCAGGTGTGATGGGCGCACGCCTATAATCCTAGCACTCAAGAGGCTGAGGCAGGAGAATCACTGCAAGTTCAAGGCCAGCCTGGGCTACAAAGTAAATTCAAGGCCAGCCTGATCTGCATAGTGAGACCTGGTCTCAAAAAAAAAAAAAAAAAGCCACAAGGTGTGGTGGCACACACCTTTAATTCTAACACTCAAGAGGCAGGAGGATCATAAATTTATAAATCCCATCCGAGCAACTTTGTGAGATCTTGTCTCAAAAATTAAAAAATTTAAAAAGGAGAAAGGGATGAAGGAGAAGGAAAGGGAGGACAAAGAAAGGATATGGCAGAATTCTTTATCAGTCTCCTACTGTGTTGTCAGACTGAGAACAGAGGGCATACACTGGGTAGTGAACCAGGAATCGTGACTAAACATGCAAGTTCTATCTGCTTTTGTGAGATACTAAATATTCAAGAATAAAGCCTATGTCCAACTTCAAACTCAAATTGAAAAGGGAATTCTTAACCAGAACCTGGAATTTCTGGGAACTGTGAGGCATTTTCAGCCTTTCATATACAAAATTCTAAACAAAAAGATAAGCAAAGTCAATCAAAAGAGTAAAGTGCACTTACTAAACAGTCATGATGATAATCTGTACAAACTAAAGTGGGTGGAGACCAGGGCCCATGGCTGGATTATGTACCCTAAGAACACCACCTCTCTCTTAAAGAGGGAACTTCCGAGTCCAAAAACTTCTATTTGTTTTAAATATGGCTTTAAAAAGGGAAAATATCACCAGGCATGGTGGTATACACTTGTAATTCCAGCACTTGGGAGGCTGAGGTAGGAGGACTGCCAGCCTGACTACATAAAGAGCTGAAGGCTACTTGAACTACATATCTATCTCAAAGACTATCTCAAAAAAAATGAAAATAAAATAAAATAGCAAGCAACAAGAACAGGAAAATAAAGGAGTCCACTTACCCACATTTGACATGCCAGAGCTGGCTTGAAATATCTTTCTAGAAAATAGTGTTTTACTCTTTGAATGTCTTTTTAACATATTAAGGTACTGGGGTGGCTGGAGAAAAAAAGAAGAAAAAATTTCCAATTCATGAAACTTTTTCTTTCAGTACAAAGTGGTTGGTTTATATATACACAAAACATAAAGGAAAAAATTTTCCAGAAAGTGAAGCAGAACCTTGCCCCAAGTTGGATGAACCCTAGGCCCGGTACATCCAGCTCGCAGAGCAAGCACATAAGTCTGGAAAGACATAGGGAATGTGCAGAAAGGGTGGAGGGCAGGAGAAGCACGCACATACAAAGCCTACCTCCTTTAGTGAGATCATGTACATGTCCACTCCAGTAACCTTACAAAGTCTCTGTGGCCACATAGGACGGAACTCCTATCAACATTTTACTCTAGACTTTCTTAATGATTGAAATTAAAAATCTACAAGTTTTTACATTACCACTGCGTTATTTGCACAGCCCTCCCTCTAAACATAACTATAAAATAAGCACACAATAATCACTTACAACTTAAAGCAATCTGTTAGTAGAACAAAGGCAACATGTACACATTATTTCACTTGAATAAACTGGTACTCATAGGACAGCAATGCTTTTCATTTCTTCTCTGTCTGCCATTTAATAAGACTGCATCAACTACTATTTGCCATAATATAGTTAACTAAATTTCACTGCAATTGATTTTAGATATCTCTTTAAAAGTTTATTTCTATCATGAAGTATAAATTATTCAGGTTAAAATTCAGTGAGACATTCATATCCCATTCCCAGGAAGATTACCACCCTACCTTGAGCTCACCAGCCAACTCTTCTGTACATGCACACCCAGCCACAGAAGTTAGGGCGCACCTGCTGCAGAGGCCACCAAACTCCACCTCTCGGCTACCCGTCTATCTCCACCAAATTGCTGATTTTCTCTTTTTCCAAATAACATCGGGTGATAGAAAAAAGATAGAAACTCAAGGCTCTGCTCCTTAGAAATACCTAAAATTCAAAGGCAAATAAGGAATAGATATCTTTTGGGTAATCTGTATTAAAGTTCTTCAAAGACAAGCCAGTGAACACAGCTAAGTAACTTGGTAAATTTAAATTTCAAAGACATAGAAGAAAGAACCAATGGAATTACAGCAAACTCTAGGCTGTTCAGGGTGCTGACCTTTGGGATGCCATAAAGAGCAGACCACTGCTTCAGGCTGCCCATCTAAGAAGGGGCTGGCAACAAGGAGCTCAGCTCTAGGAGGTAAGAAGAACCCACCTCAGTTCTGTTAGGCCCAGGCCTGCCAAACACTACTGAACCCCACATTCTACAGCTTTAAATTCGAAGTTTTTGCAGCTGTTTCTGTTGAGGAAGTGATGTCCACCCTCATGTAATTATTGAAGACAGTACACTATGACCTTTTGTCATCCACCCAGTCAACAGCTAACAGAAGACAAAGACAAGGAAGGCATTGACAGCATCTACAAAGACATGGTTTGCACAACTACCTCAAAAGCAGCTGTTTTACTTCTAGCCAAAGCTAGTTTCCACAACATATACCACCTATGCATAACATGTCAGGTAAGCTGAAAAGAGTCTGTATGTCATGAGCAAACTAACAGTAACAATAACAACAGTTCTCAGTGCCCATTAAGAGGTCTGTTTCCAAATAGCGCCTACATGTTCCAGGTCACCATGAAGTGAGAGAAAAAAAACCCACTCAGCCTCAGTGCGCCAGGGTGTTGAGCTACAAGCAGGAGCCATGGGTACATGAGCCTGTGAGGGAGAACCCAAAGGGAAAAGACACACATGCTCACACTAGGACTCTCCAGAAAGCTGAGCTCTAAAACACTAGGGACAGATTGACAACAAACAATCAGGTTAGCAACTCTGAAAGGAGCATGTTCTCAACACACTTACTCTGACTTACCAAGCACAAGGTATGCACCTCTGGGGCCGAACACCTGACCTCAGCAATAAAGCTTCACCGCAAAGTGTCTTCACATAAAACTGCTTTCCAAAAGTCTAACAGTAGTGTGCTAGGTCAATGGGACAGCCCAGGGTGAGTGTGCACTGGGCCAGTCCAGCCCAAGGGGCGAGGCAGAGGCACTCTTGTGAACTGTAAGACCACCTATAAAAATGTAAATGGCATGGGTTGCAAATTCTGCTCCGTTTTCTGGGAGCCAACTCCAAGGCTTATTCTGGATCCCATGCTGCCAGTCAGGCTTTCCAGAAAGCCTGGAAGGACAACAGGACACACTCCCTTTCTGGCCCCAGAACCCAGCAGGCACAGCCTACCCTCCCTGGAACCCACACCTCATGGCACAAATCAGCTACCTCCTGCCTCCCCAGAAAGAGCATCCACAGGTCACTTCTACATCCTTGTCAGGTTACAGAGGTTGAGGCCTGCATAAATACAGAAACTGCTAACTATCTGCCCCTCATAACTCACATACATATATACATACTTTTTTTTCCTGGTACCAGGAATTGAACTCAAACCTTGTGCTTGCCAGGCAGGCACTTGTGCCACTGAGCTATATCTCTGGTCTCATAGTTCACATTTAAAAGGGGTCAGAAGCTGGGTAAGGTGGTACATGCCTGTAATCCCAGCTACTCAGGAGGCTGAGGCAGGAGGATCACAAGTTTGAGCCTAACCTGGGCAACTCAGTAAGTTTCTGTCTCAAACTTTTTGGGGATGTGGTAGCTCATGCCTGTAATTCCAATAATCAAGAGGCTGTGGTAAGCGGACCATAAAGAGTTCAGGGGTTGGGCTACAGAGTGAGTTCAAGGCAAGCCTGGACTACACAGTGAGAATCTATTAAAAACTAAATTAACTTTTTTTTAAAGGGCAGCCGATGAAACTCAGTTGTAGAACTTTTGCCTGCCATGAACAAGGGCTTTGGTTCAACAACCAATACCAGGAATAAAAGCCAGAGCCAGTCCAGAGGGATGAGTAACAGATTCCCCCTGAGGAAGCCTGCAATGGCAGAAAAAGGAAAGATGTAACTCTCACATGAGAAGGAAGCCAAAGAACTGTTCTGGAGTGAATGACAGCCTTTCCCCCATGGCCTCAACACACTTTCACCCTGACATTTGGGTTGGAGGTCAACACAGTTTCAGTCTGTGGTGGCAGACGATGAGGAGAGGGAGACCTCACTACCACCCTCAACCTGCCCGGTGCACGATGGGAGGGAGACCATGAGAAGGACAGTCCTTCCCACCAGAACACCAAGCCTCA